GTTCCCCAGAACAGGCTACGTAACATACGAAAACAGATACTGAGAAGGTTGCGAGGGGGTGAAAGGGAGACCTGGTACTGGAAACAGACTGGGTAAAAGTCTTCACAAGGAGCATTTACACCTCCAGCTTCCCTCCTCCACCCCGGCAAGAGGCAGGAGATGTTTATTCTGTGGCAAAACTGAAGGACAGGAGCTCCAGTCCAGAAGATTCAAGAACCACAGAAGAGGAAAAGTGAACCTTGGAGAGTGAAGTGAAAAGTTTACCTACTGAAGAGCACACCCTCACTCCTTTATCTTCTCCATGCAGAGAATGCTAAAAGCCAGGCAAATGCCACCCAGAAAGACACTGGAGGGTTGGTCTGAAGAATTCCAGGGAAAAGAACTGTGGATTCTAACATTTGCATATCCTCCAAAGTAAAAATAAAGGGTGAAAACATATTTTAACATGACAAAAAATACAGGTTATCTCTGATATACTGCTTTATTTTGTTATAAGGGTCTAACACTCACCCTGCCTTCACTTCATTATTAAAGCTGAGTTCATCCAAGATTTTAGACTTCCCCAGAAGGAAAACTTAGAAATGCTGGCAAATTTTACATTTTAAAGTTCTTGGCCTGATTAGGAGTCCTAAACTTCTAATTCAGAACTTGCTTTAAAAAGAAAGCCTAAGAAAGGAAGGTAACTTAAAACCTTAGAAGGACCAAAATAGAAATGACACTAGGTATTAGGGTCTATGGCTATTAGTTGGAAATGTCATATCAAGCTAAATAACTGCAGCAGGCTGAAAAATGGCCCCCAAAGATATTCAGGAAACTTTATGCCAAATGGTACACCACTTATACCATAAATAGACAATGGTATATCGCTTACCCTAAATAATAAGTAGCATTAAAAATTAGACATGATGGAAATGAACCAATGATACTAAACTCCAGTAGAGAACGTTGCCCTTTGAACAGCGTAAAACTAAGTCCACACTCATTTTGTTAAAAAGGGAAAGATTAGCAAATCTTAGATATTCAAAACTAGAAATAAGTATACTGTATAAACTGAAAGAATGTATAAAAACTGGAATGGGACTAAATTCTCATTGTGTAATGCAATGTCATTTAATTCCCTGTCTCTGGACCACCTAAAATCATGTCTCCTCCCACCACTGGAAGCTACACCTGTCTGTAATCAACTCCCTTCTTACCTCCTTATACAAAAGACCTAGAGCGGGGCTTCCCTAGTGGCACAGTGGTTGAGAGTCCGCCTGCCGATGCAGGGGACACGGGTTCGTGCCCCGGTCCGGGAAGATCCCACGTGCCGCGGAGCGGCTGGGCCCGTGAGCCATGGCCACCAGGCCTGTGCCCCCGGAGCCTGTGCCCCGCGACGGGAGAGGCCACAACAGTGAGAAGCCCGCGTACCGCAAAAAAAAAAAAAACTTAAACTGGATTGGAGAACAGTAAAAGACCTGAAAAGAGCTCTCTACCTTATTCATTGAGAAGGCAATTTAACAATGTAAAAACACTGATTTTCTCCAAATTAATCTAACTTCAAAGCATTTCCAATTAATCTCCCAACAAGAATTTTTGGGTAACCTGACAAACTGATTGAAACTTTTATGTTAAACCAAATGTCCACAAATACTTAAGAAAATCAATGATGAAGTCATCGTAATAACAAGTGTGGTTAGTAGAAGAGGAACAGACTGATAAACCAACTTACTACACTAGACATCACAAGACTCACCTGTCAGGCCATTTCTCTTACATATACCAAAATCTCACACATGCATGGGTCTGAACCACCATGAGTTTAACAGAATGAAACACTCTAATTCCTGTTATAGTTAGATTTTATTTCTTTCAACCCAGGGAGATTAGACTTAGAAAATACTGGAACTCAAAGAACTAATGTCTATCTCCCTAAAATAGTATTTTCTACTATTTCTGTCCCCAGCCTCTAACTCTCCTCCATCTCCTCCTCCTACGACCACAAAAGATTTTTCCCTCCATCTGTTTGGCAAGGGGGGCTGGGAGGAAGACAGAAGCCAATCACATACCACGTTATACCTAAATTTGCATAATAGCAGAGTTTTACTATATACGTAAAGCATATATAATATAGTGTTTAATACATAATGTTCAAAAATATTACAGCCTCCTTCCCTTTTCTCCAGGTACCCAGTTTGATGTGTCTCTACATAACTTCACAACTAGCTTGCACCCTAATTTCTAAGGATAGAGTTAGTGAAGGCAAAATGAAGCTTATGACAAGGTGTGGCACATGAAATACAACTCTTTCCTATAAGAGCAGTGGTTCTCCTACTTGAAAATGCATCAGAGTCACTGGGAAAGCCTGAGAAAGCACAAATTGCTGGACTCCATTCCCAGCAGTTTCTCATCAGTAGGTCTGTGGTGAGTGACATTTATAACAACTTTCTGGGTGGTGCTAATGCTACCTTGTCCACAGGCCACATTTTTTTTTAAAAAAAAGAAGATGTTGTGGGTAGGAGTTTATTAATTTATTTATTTTTGCTGTGTTGGGTCTTCGTTTCTGTGTGAGGGCTTTCTCTAGTTGTGGCAAGCGGGGGCCACTCTTCATCGTGGGGTGCGGGTCTCTCACTATCGCGGCCTCTCTTGTTGCGGAGCACAGGCTCCAGACGCGCAGGCTCAGTACTTGTGGCTCACGGGCCTAGTTGCCCCGCGGCATGTGGGATCCTCCCACACCAGGGCTTGAACCCGTATCCCCTGCATTAGCAGGCAGATTCTCACCCACTGCACCACCAGGGAAGCCCACAGGCCACATTTTTGAAAAGCACTGAGCCACAGAGCACAGGTTCTCAAGTGAAGGCAAATTTGCCCTTCAGGGGAAATGAGGCAGTGAATGTGTGTATTTTTGGTTGTCACAAGCTAGAGGGGTGGGAGGGAGAAGTAATACTGGCACCTGGTAAGTACAGACCAAAGATGCTGTGAAACATCCTACCACGCACAGGACAGCTCCCCGCAGCAAAGGATTATGTGGCCAAAAACGTCAATGATGTGGAGGGAGAGAAACCTTACCATCAGTAAAACATAATTACTCCAAATATATGATTTGACCATTAAGTTGGTGAAAAGTTCTTCAGTGAGTTTCAGAAATCTGACATGGAATAAATATGCAAAGAATTGTGTTTTTCTTCAAATATTGATAACTCTAAATTTTACTCATCCATGGCAAAATGAAGTTTTAAAAATATTAATACTTAAAGATATACTGGGCTACAGAAAGAAATAAGCATTTATTTATATAAGGTTATTGGTAGATTTCTAGTAAAGAAACAAAACATTCATTGTGCAAGAGTAGTAAGAAAACTAGTTATATTAAAAGACTAATAATTTCCTTGAAAAATAATGATCAGCCATATTTATTTCCTAAGCTAAGTGAAAAGCAAATAACTGTTCATTGTACTATTATATGTATTTAGTATAAACGAAATATTTTATTTTATAATGAAAATTTGTTTTAAGGAAAAGCAGTGATTATAGCAGTAATCAATCCTAAGTAAATATATCTAAGGAAAATGTACTTTATATATACATGCATGGGCATACACGGATATACATACACACTACACACACACATGCACACAGAAACAAATGTACTTACTCCAGTGGGCTGGAAAATGAGACCATCCATTTCATGGCTGACTTCTTTGGCAAAGTTTCCTTCAAGTAGCTATAAAATAAACACATATTTTTAGAAACACAATAATCATTTTAAAAGTTTTTTAATTTTTTGTAAGCTTTATAAGAACTTCTTAATACATAAGCTTTAAAAATGGAAATACAAAATGGGGGAGAGGGGTGATCCAGAGGGATCTAGTTTAATATACTGTAAGATTATTTTTTAATATATGAAGGTTTCCACTCCATGGCAGGCTAGATATCTCAAACAACAGTTCTAACTACAATAACCAAAATGATGGATAAAATATTAAAAAAACTTTTTTTCTTCTTCAGTTTTATTAAGATATAATTGACATACAGCACTCATCTCATACAGATACAAAATAAAAATAAATATATTTTTTTCCTTGTGATGAGAACTCAGGATTTACGTTCTTAACAACTTTCATATGTAACATACAGCAGTGTTAATTATATTAGTCATGCTGTATATTACATCCCTAGTACTTATTTATCTTACGACAGTGGTCAAAGGTACAAACTTCCAGTTATAAAACATATTTTTAAATGCACTATGCTGAGCCAGCATAAAAGGAAGGAAGGCATAGGCCAAAACCAAAACAAAAGTAGAAACGCTGGGAAGTAATAAATAAAGGGAATAAAAATAAACATACACAAAAAAGGAGAGAGCAGAGAATCTTGCTTGGGAATAGATGGAGCCGGGATAAGATTCTCTGAGAATCTGTAAAAAGAAGCTAGCTCAAACATGGGGATTGCAGCCCCAAAATGCATTATCTGTGTTTTCCCCAAACCTTCAAGCAGAAAAATTTAACCTTTCTTTTTGTCCAACTTTTTGCCTCATTTTTTGTCTTTATTACATATTTTCAAGCAAAAAAACTGCATTGCAAGGAATACACAGCATGAAATACAAATAACAAGTGTTTTCAATGCCATATCTACTGAAAAGCAGAGTTATAAGCCCAATGCTCTCTAATTAGTTCTGAACAAGTAGTTTTAAATGCTTCTCTTCCATGGATTTTTATATTATTCTGAAGAACTGAACATACGCATCACTAAGTGAGGACCTACACACTGATTTTCTGCATCTCAGGGAAGAGAGCAGAAGATACTTTCACAGAGCCAGGTAATAATGTCATGTTACCCAGAGTCTGGCCAACTACCAAAAAAACATTTAGGATAGTTCTGGGATTCAAATATGTTCCACCAAAATTTTGGATATGCTGTGTGTTATTCAATCACAATCTTTCATCACAATCACATCCTCTAAAAAACCACTACACTTAAAGGCAGATTTGCATTCCAAAAGCAACAATCAAAATGTCCAGTATATTGCACATGCCACAAGATCTGTGATTCTCTTCCCAAACTGTGACTTCATCTTCTCTGCCATTTCATTCCTTGAAATCTGTAATTTCTCTAAACTGGGGGCAGTTCAGCAAAGAAAAGTAAGAGCAATCCTAGTTTCTAACTGCTTTAAGACCAATTTGAGTTTGAATAATCTACACTTCCGTAAAGCTGTAATGCTCCTTAGTCAAATTCACAGGGACAGAAATTACAGAGTCTTGGGGAGGAGAGAACGAGGTGTTAGCGTTTGATAGGGACAGAGTCTCAGTTTGGAAAGATGAAAAAGATCTGGAAATGTATGATGGCAATGGTTACACAACAATCTGAATGTACTTAAAGCCACTGAAATGTATGCTTAAAAATGATTAAATGGTCAATTTTATGCTATGCATATTTTATCACAATTCTTTTTCAACTGTAATGCTCTTGATATTTTCTTTTTTGTTGTGTTTTGTTCTTTCGTCTTATTATGACACTAAAAAAGTGGGGAGCTTGCAGACTGGGACTCTTAGAGCCATATTATCCAGAGTTTGGCCAAATAGGTAAAAATTTCAGACCAGATCTGAAATTGATCTCCAATTCATTCATAGGTTTAAATGACCTACCCATATGAGGAGGAAACTGCTGAAGTAAAAGTTCAATATGGATTAAAAGTACTGATTTCTTATAATGAACTAATGATGGGTAAAGGGTCAAACAAGAAAAAAAATGTATAAAATTGATAATTCTTGTACTTCATCATGTAAGAAAAGGTAACCTACTAAATTCATAGCATAAAATCCTGCTGAGGAATGAAGCAATGAAAACAAAATGCCACAATTATCTTTTTAAAAACACTTTTCAAAGGTTAAACAATTTGTTCTTTTATAGTAGGTACATCATTTACGGCAAGTAAACATTGCTTTTCCATTCTTAGACCATCTTTCTCCCTTTCATACACTGGACCATCCCTGTAGATAAAGTATATATAAAGTTAACAGTATAAAGTATAGTGTTGGCAAGACTCTAGATAACATGATGGTACCTGCTGCAGAAATGAAAGTAACTTCCTTTTTTATTTTACTCTAACTTTTTAAGAATCAGAGAATTTAAAGGACTATGAAATTTCTTAGGTCAAAAGAAGAAATACTGCTTGTTTTCACTCGTTTTACTGCTTATTGATTACTCTAGACAATATTTCTTTCTTTACTTAATACATTTACAATATTACCTAGCATACATTAAAGACCTACTATAAAGTGTTGTTGTGCTTGGTTCTTAACATATGTACATCATTCAAAACACACAACTCCTCATGAGATGTATAATTTTTAATTTTATATTATTATTCACTTCACCAGAAAAGGAAACTGAGACCATCAGCAATTAAATGACTAGCTTCAAGTCAGATAGCTAAAAAAGTAAAATCACTCAGAACAGATTTCAATCAGACTTTAATTAAAAATAAGGAAATAGGGAACTTCCCTGGTGGTGCAGTGGTTAAGAATCTGCCTGCCAATGTAGGGGACACGGGTTCCATCCCTGGTCTGGGAAGATCCCACATGCTACAGAGCAACTAAGCCCATGCACTGATGAGCCCGCGTGCCACAACTACTGAAGCTCATGCACCTAGAGCCCGTGCTCCGCAACAAGAGAAGCCACGGCAATGAGAAGCCTGCACACCGCAACGAAGAGTGGCCCCCGCTCGCCAAAACTAGAGAAAGCCCGCGTGCAGCAACGAAGACCCAATGCAGCCAGAAATAAATAAATAAAATAAATAAATTTATTTGGGGAAAAAAAAAAAGGAACTAACCAGAGAAAGTCTCTGACTCTCTGAAACAAATGCCCCAAAGACTTCTGAAACTTCCCACATATATAGGTCCTCCAATCATCATTTAAAAATACAGACTTTAGGGCTTCCCTGGTGGCGCAGTGCTTGAGAGTCCGCCTGCCGATGCAGGGGACGCGGGTTCGTGCCCCGGTCTGGGAGGATCCCACATGCTGCAGAGCGGCTGGGCCCGTGAGCCATGGCCGCTGAGCCTGCGCGTCCGGAGTCTATGCTCCGCAACGGGAGAGGCCACAACAGTGAGAGGCCCGCATTCAGCAAAAAAAAAAAAAAAAAAAAAGAGTCATGTACCACAATGTTCACTGCAGCTCTATTTACAATAGCCAGGACATGGAAGCAACCTCAGTGTCCATCGACAGATGAATGGATAAAGAAGATGTGGCATATATAAACAATGGAATATTACTCAGCCATAAAAAGAAATGAAATTGAGTTATCTGTAGTGAGGTGGATGGACCTAGAGTTGTCATACAGAGTGAAGTAAGTCAGAAAGAGAAAAACAAATACCGCATGCTAACACATGTATATGGAATCTAAAAAAAAAAAAAAAAATGTCATGAAGAACCTAAGGGCAAGACAGGAATAAAGATGCAGACCTACTAGAGAATGGACTTGAGGATATGGGGAGGGGGAAGGGTAAGTTGGGAAAAAGTGAGAGAGTGGCATGGATATATATACACTACCAAATGTAAAACAGATACCTAGTGGGAAGCAGCCACATAACACAGAGAGATCAGCCCGGTGCCTTGTGCCCACCTAGAGGGGTGGGATAGGGAGGGTGGGAGGGAGACGCAAGAGGGAGGGGATATGGGGATATATGTGTATTTATATCTGATTCACTTCGCTATATATAGCAGAAAATAACACACCAATGTAAAACAATTATACTCCAATAAAGATGTTGAAAGAAAAGGAAGGAAGGAAGGAAGGGAGGAAGGGAGGGAGGGAGGGAGGGAGGGAGGGAGGAAGGAAGGAAGGAAGGAAGGAAGGAAGGAAGGAAGGAAGGAAAAAAGAGTAAAACTGTGTCAATTTACACCTAATATGACTGGATACTCAGAAAATCCAAGAGAATCAACTGAAAAATAATTATAAACCAGAATCAGATGGAACCAGAGAATTCAATGAAAACACAAAGGCTTAGAATAGAGAAAACAACTTCAAAAAAGAAGTACAAAGTTGGAAGATCAAGTCTGTCTGATTTCAATCTTTACTATAAACAATGGTAGTCAAGACAGTACTACCACAAAGACAGATAAAAAAGATCAAGGGCATAGAACAGAGCATCTAGCAATAGTCCCACACATACATAACAACTTATTTTTTATAAAGATGCAAAAGAAATTCAATGAAAAAAGGACCATCTCTTCAATACTTGGTGCAGAAACAATCGGATATCCATATGCAAAACAAACAAACAAAAACCTATCAACAGGCTAAAAACAACCCAAATGACTATGGATTAATTAAGTAAATTATGGTACACTGATAAGATGGAAATCTGTGCATCTATTAAAAAAAAGATTGAAGGAGATCTCCATGTACCAAAACTGGGGCAAGGGGACACAAAATAAATTAAGTAAAAAAAAGCAAGTACAGAAAAGGGCATTAAGAATCACCTCTTGGGTAAGGGTGGTAAGAATATAAACAAATGTATTGTTTGCCCATGGATAAAGAAATTCTGATGGATACAATAAATGCTAATAGCAGTGGTTACTCTTCTGAGATGATGATAAATATCTGCTGTCTGTCTGACTTTTAAAATTTTGTTAACCACATTTAATCTATTCAAATAATTCTTTTTTAATTGGCCTTCAAACTGGAAATGCAAATAAATTGTAATTTAAGAAACTGCTACTTCTTATTACTATTTAGGATGCTGTATTCTAACACCCATTTATGTATATTAAGTTAAAAATTAAACAACTCATTATCCCTTCACTAGTTTGACGGATCAAATTCAACAAAATGGAGAGGTTGTTTATAGAGCTATGTTAATAAACTCCTAAAATCAAAGTTATCTTCAAGTTTTTATAGACAGAAATGAAATTCTACTGTTTTCTACCCAAAAGTATGCATTTTTCAGAGTTGTAAATTTTGTTAAAAACCACATAAAAACTAGGCTTTCTCATAAAAATGATACGTACTTCCCTGACAAATGCTGCATCATTCGTAACACCACTATTTTACAATTCCCAGTAGCAAAGATAAAAAATAATAAGCAACTCTAGAGCAATAACCTGTCAATCGTAGCTACTATTCTATAACTTGGTGTTACTACAGTCTTACCCTTTAGACCAACTCTGCTGCAAAATGTGTAGTTGTATTCAACAACTTTACACTTTGGTAAGAGAAATTGAGGACAAAAAAATAACAGTAAAAACTGAAAAGGAGGGAAGAGGAGACTTATATGTAAAATTCCAAATAACACAACTGCTTGAAAAAAAAGAATTTCCTATGATGATTTCAAAGGGTGGTTACATAAGCTTAAGAAAGGAGAAAAATTAGAGCATCGTTTTTTCTAGTGAAAAACTACATGAAAAGTTGGTCAACATAACTATATACTTCAGATCCCTAAAGAACTATTTTCTAAACATTTCTAAGCAGCACTGATTCTGACTAATAAAACTACACTGAGACACATTTTCTTAAATGCTGAACTTTGAATTATGGCAGCACAAGCTGTCAGAATACTTTTTAAAAAAACAAATGCAAACTGAAACAATTTGGCTTCTGACCAACTTTTACAATGAATTAAAAATTTAGCAAGGTGTGGCCCACATTAAGTGTTAACGTTATCCCTACCCTACGACTGGGCAGGGCACAGAAGTGTATGGCTCTTTTAGGCAACCCTATAATATTCCTGCTTCCACAACAGACACAAA